AGGTATTTTGATAGCTGTTGGAGTGGTTAGAATCAGTGTCAGTTCCCTCTCAAAGGCTTCTAGATAGGGGGAGAAAACAAATTTAGCCATCATTTTAGAACAATAGTGGGTTGTCTCCCTTAGTTACAGGTGGGCACTACAGTATTGCAGACCAAGATTTGAAGTCTTATATACTAAGCAGCACTTTCATATTCAGAACAAAATCATCAATGAGAAATAATTGTCTAAATAACATTTTATATGGACTTAAGTCTAATGTCAGGGAGGTGTAATCCCTTGAACTCTTAAAGAAATATACTTATCACTTTAATCTTTGGTTATACTTTCATTTTGCATGTTTAAGACCATACAGTTGGCACAAATAAACCAATTTGAAATTTGTCCTGTTCTGACTTTTTTGTGGTTCCCTGTCTAGAACTTGTAATGCTAACTACTCTTGCCTTTACTTCTTCACATCCCCTATTCACCAGTCAAGGACTTTCTTTTCTCCCTACAGATAAGAGTTCTGCAATTTGGGAGTCTTAGATAGACCCACTGAAGGGGTACCCCAATCGCCTCACCCTGTATCCCGGTTCAGCATGGAAGCCAGAGGGTCTGTGTCCTGATTACCTATCAGCAATTTGGGTAACCTCTTCAGAGGATGGTGTGATAAGAATAGATGGTAGGAATTGGCTAGACAGTTAGGGTAAAAAAGACTTCAAAGAAAAGTAACCAGTTTCTTGGCTAAAAGTCAAAAGTCCTTGGGCCTCTTAGCAACATACTCTGTTCCAAAGGCCAAAAATGTCAAAAGTATTTGGGAGCTTTTATCTAATCCCTAAAAGATTTTAGGGTTGAAAGAAAGAAATAAAGGAAGTTTATACTCTAATAAATTGTCTTTGGCTTAAGGAAGGAAGGAAGGAAGGAAGGAAGGAAGGAAGGGAGGGAGGGAGAAAAAAAGAATAAAAGAAAAAAAAGAGTACACTAAGTTGTCAGAAAAAAGTGATGAGGAGATATGGGAGGTATTGAAGGGGAGGGAGTAGGCATGGATTTGATCAAAACACCTTATATGCATGTATGAAATTCTCAATAAAGTTTTTTAAAAGCCAAAAAAAATTAACATACAAAGTAACAGGTTTTGCTATAGCATGTTCATACACATGTGCACCAGTTTAAGTGCAAATTCTCAAGGATAGTTGTAATTCGGTCCTGAAAACTATCCTGAATGAAAACCACATACTAAAATATTGCTGATTAAAAGAACATTTATTTAAAAAAAATAGTATTCTGTCTTTGTGTATATTCTTAAAGCAATCTTCAAATCCTCTTTGGAAGCAGGAAAACTATAAATGTACAATTAACATTTTAAAACTAGGAAACTAGACAAAGTTAAAAACAGATTCTAGATTGGTAGTATAGTACAGTAAGAGTATGTGCTAAGCATGTACAAGATCCTCAGTTCAACCCCTAACACCCTAGCAACACAAAAGAAGAGGGAGGGAGGGAAGGAGGGAAGGAAAGAGAGATCCAAACTAAAACACAATAACAAAACAAACCCAACCCTTAAACCAAAAAGGCACCCCACTAACCACTACCACCTTTCTTCCTGAACGCTTGTGGGTGCCTACTGCCTACTAGGTTGGGATTCTATCATTCTCACCCATAAGAAATTCAGTCTAGAGAAGAGCATACTTTTTGGGGAAGTGTGGGAAGAGGATGTGAAAAGGCGTTCAGGGAAGGTGCCTCCCTTCCTCCAGAGGTAGACAGGGGTGGGGATGGAGGTATGTGTGGCAAAGATTAAATTCATGCATTAATAACGTTCTTTATTTGTAAAGAAAAATACATCTAAACAACTTTTTAAAAAGCCAGAGGTTAATATTGTCAAAATTTGAATTATAAGCCATTTGCACCACTATATATAATACAGAAGTAGGCAAGCCTTGAATACCCTTGTCTTCCTGAATTCTAACTCTTCCTAGTAGACACAGTTATACAGAGAAGTAAGCCACTCTTGGAAAAGCTAGGTTTTCAATGTACTGTAACATTTCTAGGGCTGGATATTTACATTTGGGGCTTAACTGCTTCTGTGATCTTGTAGTATGGTGAAGCATACAGATGCCTTTCACAGTATAAAATATGTAATGTGTGTAATATATGAAATAAGGTATACAGGAGCAAAGGCATACAACTGGTTTTAAGAAATATTAAAATAAGTGTTTCTGTGAATAGGATATAGTGACAGGCCCAATAACTACCACGATTTTAAAATAGTCAAGAGAGGAACTGGTATTTGGAGACAACTGTTGCAACTTGTATCACCACAGTGATACAAGATATCTGTGACTACCTTTAGTGAAAAGGTCTATTACTGCAACTACTGTAGTCTATAGTCTTTGCCAGTATCTACAGAGAAAGGAGATAGTAAAATTTCACCTGGAGGCTAGTGGAAAGAATATAATTTTATTTCTGTTCACAGATCCCCTCCTCCTCTGACTTATAGGATCCCTGACTGATGTAACATCCTCTCTCTGCTACCTACCTGTCTGCTACCTGTCCTACAAATCAGATGAGGTTAAACCAAGAGGTGGTTACTGAGGACAAATGAAGAGACCCTGCTGAGCATGTCTCCCCACTCACATGTAAGCCTTGTAGTTGTTGCCAATCTTCTGAACCCGGATGTCATACTTGGCATCAATGAAGGGCTCTGCTGTGGCATAGGTCTGGGTGAGGGCCACCACACTAGCAATGTCCTGGAAGTCGTAGTGATTTTCCACTTTGACCTAATGTTGATATAAGGCAGACAGGGAGAAAGGAGGACGTATGCATACACACATGGAGAAGTCCCAAGAGCCTGAAGTCTCCAAACCAACCACACTGTTTGCAATCTAGACAAAACATGAACGTCACATCTCCCTAGCAGTTTCTTTGTCTTTGGCCTCTTTTCTCAGAGCGCAGGATCATACTTGTTGCAGAAGACCTAAGGGACCAACAACCAGGTTGCTTGTATTCTCCACTGAATGCTTGGGCAAAATTCATGGATCCCAAAAAGGCCCAATCATGTCCTTGGAAAGAATTCACTAACACAAGAAATAGAATAGTTCACAAATGAAATTTCTGAAAGCAGCTTGGCCCCAGACCACTGCCAGCCTTCCTGCCTTACCTTGCCCATGCCTGAGTGAGCATGACCAATCTTCACCACCACAGGGAATGTAGGCAGTGTTAGCTGAAAGCAGAAAAAGAACTGGTCAGTATCTTTCGCTCTTTGGAATCCCACAAATACCTTATTTGGGAGTACCCTTAGAAGGATCCTTTAAAGAACTAGTACAACCTACTTGTCTACAAACTGGGCTTACAGAATGACAGTGACTTTCCCAAGACCACACCATGTACTAGTGACAGAACCATGAGGACCCTGTTCTATCTGATGTTCTCTACATCTTACTCTTTCACCTTTTTCTGCATTAGATAACCCTGGTAGGACCGGTTTTTTAAAAACCCAAAAAAGAGTCAATTTTGTTGTATGTAAACTGTACCTTAATAAGCCAGAAACTTTTAGAATCTATCTTTAGCACCTTAACGTCCATTAAGCCATGTTCCTCTTACTACTACTTCTCCCCTTCAAATGCTCAGCTTTCCCGTGTTGCTCCTAACTGTCCTCCTCTTCCTCTTTCACATTCTTTACCACTTACCAACACCACAAACTTGCCATCAAACACAGCTCAGTATGCCGAGGCCTATTTCTGTCCAGAAGGGGGTTTGGAAGAGGACATAAGAATTCAGTATGTTTATTCTTGGAAGACATCCTTAAGAAAGTAAACTCTTTCTTGAAGTAGTCCTATTTAATAGAGGTGCAATAAGATTTTAAGGAAGGGGCTGGAGAGGTAAATCAGTGGTTAAGAACACTGATTGTTCTTGCAGAAGACCCGGGTTTGAATCCCAGCTCCCACATGACAGCTAACAACTGTCCATAACTCCAGTTCCAGGGGATCCAACAGCTTCTTCTGTCCTCCACAGGCATTGCACGACACAGGTGCACTTACCTACACGCAAGCAATACATGCATACACATAAAAATAATGAATAAAATATTTTTAAAAAAGATTTAAAGGAAGAATTACCCTCTAAAGCAGAATTTTAAGTGGTAACAAAATGCAGGCAAAAGTAGTAACATGATGCTATGGAAGGAGTACTAGATCAGACACTGGGAGATGCAGAGTCTTGTTTCTCTGCCACTGACCTTCTGCATGTCACTCTATGTCATTGAACCTCTCAGCCTTCATATCTGTCAAGTAACAAGATGGTTCTGGTGCTTTTCAAGACCCCTCCAAATAATAACTCTATCTTGGTCTGAACATCACATGAAGAACCACTCTAGACACCAGCCTGGACCTGTAACACATATTTCTGATTTGGTTCTCTTCCAAGTTCCTTCTTTTCAAACATAACTACTACCATCTAATGGATGTCTTCTAAAGAACACAATATTAACTGCAGAAGAGTCAGATTCCTACAGAATGTAGGTGTGACCAGATATGTGGGTTTGGTCCTTTGGATTACAAAATGAAGGAAGGGGAGGAAGAAAAGGAACAAGGGATGGGGGGCGTGTCATATAATTCAATTCTATTTTATGGAGAAAAAATTTGAGGCTCAGAGAGGCAAAGGTCACAAAACCACCTAGTGACAGTCAGAATCAGAACCCAGCCTCCTACTTTCCAGTTTAGCTGGGTAGAAACATCCTGCAGCAAAAATAATTCCATGGGTTTCTTTTTATTCAGATACTTGGAGCACTATTCTGAGAGTGGACAAGGCTTGAGTCACAATGACCCCAACCAAGTACCTTGCTTGTTTGCTAAGCTGCTCCACGTTCTAAAACATGACAGTTTCCAGGGGGCAATGACATGCAATAAAAATCAGTGCAGCCCAGGGCCTGGAGATAGAGCTTTGAGGTTCAAAGTCTGCCCTAAGAGACAGGACACCTGGTGTTATAAGCCCCTGTGAACAGCACTGTCCCCAGCTATCTGCTGAGTCTAAGGCTCTGACTGTGAGAAAGGGTTTTAAAGCACTGGCTACTTTCTCTGACATCCCTCCCCACCCCCCAGCTGACAGAGCCAAGACACACACACCCCAACTTTCTCTGTCCTATTCCCTGACTGTTTGCTGTTGCTTTGGAGCCTCATAAATAGGGCATTGAAAACACTTCCTGCAGCTGAAAGAAGCCCTGAGTAGCTTGTCTCATTCCCAGTATGCAGCTCAGCAAGGGGTCCGTCCTCCTCTGTCACTGTCTCTTTTGCCTGTTGTAATTCTGTCTGCCTCTGATTTGGCTTGTGTCTCTCTCTATGTCTATGACTCTCCTCACTTGCTCCGGCTTGAGTCCCAATCCCTCATCTTTCTGCCTTCATGCCTTTGCACTCGTCTTTTTTGTTTTGTTTTTTGTCTTTCTGCCCTTAACAGCGGTCCCTCTCCCAGTAGTGCCTTCCCCCTACTTCCAGACTGCTTAATCACTGGGCTCTGCAGGCTTCTCTCTGCCTCTTACTAAGTCTGTTGGTCAGGAGGGCCTTAGGTCCTGTGGCCGTGAGTGGCCGGGTGCCAAAGGAGGGTGGAGTCCTTGGGGCGGGATTGGCTCTAAAGCCAGCTCATAAAGACTGGGACTGCATGAGGTTCTCTGAAGGAGTTTTGGAGGGGCTGTTTGCTACTACGGACAGACCCCCACAGGCTCAGTCGGGGCTCTGCAGTGTCATGCCCTGGAGCCCCCTGGCTGCGCTGAGCTGGGCGCTGGTGCTCCGGCTGCTGGCGTTGCTGTGGCCCCCAGGGCTGGGCGAAGCGTGCAGCTGTGCCCCAGCGCATCCCCAGCAGCACATCTGTCACTCAGCTCTAGGTGAGTCCAAGGCCCTTGAGGTCCACAGCAGGGGGTGCTTGTGGGAAAACTGATGCTGGGCTGAGTTGTAGACTGGAATCTGAGGGCAGGAGTGGAGCTCAAATCCTATATGGTTGCCTCCTGTTGAAGCTGATGGATCAGAAATGGCTTTTGCTTTATTAACCTTGGAAGTACAAAGCTTGATCTGTAAGAAAATAAATATCCTGTCATGGAACTCCAGAGTAGTTATCCTCTCCCCAGGCACAGGACAAGCTCTCAGTGGAGTTATACAGTGAACATTCAAAACTACTGGGATGGGGTGGTGTGGGGTGGTTTTCATTGTAACACCTGTCTCTTTCCCTGCCTATAACTGAAGTTGCCAACATGTCCCCATGCCAACACACACCCTTTGTCTTTTCTCTCCCCTCTTCCTGGATGCCCTTCTTTCATACCTTTAACTTCCTGGCAAACTCCTGCTCATTCTTCAAGGTGTAGCTCAGGTCCCCATTTTTATGATGACATCTTAATTCTTTGGTGCTACCACATCTCTGACATATTCATGCTTCCATGATTTTTAAAGGATGTTCTCCACTAGATCAAGACTTCTGCAGAATGAGGACCCTGTCATAATCACATCTATGAGCCTTGTGCCTAATGTAAGGCCAGGCAGAGAGGAAGAACTTTATAGACAGTTTTAATAGGTCTAGTGATGTAATTGAGTGGTAAGGCACCTGCCTCTCATATGTGAGGCCTTAAATTCAATCCTCAGTACTGGTAAAAACAAAAACAAAAACAAACTCCAAATGGAACAAACAAAATGAAAAAAGTTCAGTTTTTGATTAGTGCCCATTTGGCAAGAGACGAACTTTAGTGGAGGGTCAGAAAAATTTATGACTTCACATTTATTAATATCACTTCTATGTGAGTTGTGAGACTCTGGGCTACATAAATAGATGAGTCTCATACCAAATACCTTGAAGGGGCTCCTATTCCCTGCTCACTACACCCAGGGATACAGAGACCTTGGGCTCTAGAAATCTATAGGTTAACAGGCAGAAAGAGCACAGAGTTTGGGGACCTTACAGCCCTGAAGGGTTTGGGGCCTGCAGCTCACTACAGAACAAATTTCCAAGTTCCTTCTCTCACATGAACCACATATCTCAGACTCCAGTAACACTTGAACCAAAAATTCCCCTGCCACTGGGGGGACCTCAGAGTATTCCCACAGTGCTGAAGGTTCCCTCCTCTTCTGTACAGTAATCCGAGCCAAAATCTCCAGTGAGAAGGTAGTTCCTGCCAGTGAAGACCCTGCTGACATTCAAAAACTGATCCAGTATGAAATCAAACAGATAAAGGTACATAGGGGCAGGACAGGGTGTTAGCTCATGATGGGTTAATGGATGGAAGAGGGTCTGTGCTTTGGGAGGGATGAACCTAGTAATATTTAGGCAATCTGGCTCAGTGATCCCTGTGGACATGCTGCAGTAGAACTATATCAATTTCCTGGGGGCTGGGCCCACAGAATCCAAGTGGATTCTGGATACAGGGTGGGGACTCACTATCTTTCTGGTCCTATAGTTCTTTGTACATGGGACTGATGGAGTACCTTCCATCTCACTGGAATTAATCAAGGTTTAGACTTACTTTAAAAAAAATTATTATTTTTATTTTATGTGTATGAGTGTATTGCCTGCATGTATGTGAGTGTACCCGTGTCATGCAACGCCACGGAGGTCAGAAGAGGGCTTCAGATTCCCCTGGAAACTGGAGTTAAGGACAGTTCGTAGCTGCCATGTGGGTGTTGGGAATTGAACCCAGGTCCTCTGCAAGAGCAGTCAGTGCTCTTAACCGCTAAGCCATCTCTCTAGCCCCTAGACTTACTTTTTAAAAACAAATATAACCCAGCAGGGTCACCTGTGTACCAAATACTGAACCAAACTTTTGCTTAAATTTTTAGAAAGAAATAAGACATTTTTACCTGTTGATATACAAATTATACTTACTGACCCAATATTGCTTTTTGTAATTGCCTTTCAGATGTTTAAAGGGTTTGAGAAGGTCAAGGATATTCAGTATATCTATACACCTTTTGACTCTTCCCTCTGTGGTGTGAAACTAGAAACCAACAGCCAGAAGCAGTACCTTTTAACTGGTAAGTTAAAGACAGGGAACCGACGTTGATGGAGTTGGTACCAAGGACAGTAGTAAGAGAGAGGCCAGGGCCTTCTCTGAGTAGTAGGCTGAATCAGGTGTCAATTTCTTAGGGACAGAAAAGAGTTGTCCTAGTCATATGGCCTTTTAGTCAGGAGCAATGAAACCTCACTTGCAGCTCAGGAATCCTTGTTACAGTAATCCTGGCCACTGCTTCACTATTTAAAGGACAGGCTGCTCTAACAGTCTAGGACTACTAGCTCCATTTTGAAACAGTTATACTCAGTGTAAGATTTTTATCATCTTAAGCCACAATATATCTCCTGAAACTATTCTTTATGTGCTCATCTCTGCCCTTTGCACAAACCCTAATATAAGTCTTGAATCTAACACAGTTCAATCTCCATAAACATGGGCCTAGACAAGCTTCGTCCATACTGAACTGGTTGGGATATAACAGGGGAAGAGTCACCCACCTCATATACCCAAGAATATGATTCCATCAATGAATGACTACAACAATGAATTATTTTGGAGTTCAGGGAAAGGAGGTGTTGGTGTGGCTATGAATAATTAGGGAAGCTTCACTGTTTGAGTAGGACCTAAACTGCCCTAGATGGAAAATAATCTATAAAGAAAGCGAGGAAAATAAAGAGCATAGCCTGCAGGGAGAACAAGTAGAGGAATTCCACTATTCCTCCAAGGATTCAGCAGTGCATGACTGGCTACTATAGACTGCCAGGCCTTGAGCAGGAAAATGAAGAGTCAGGAATGGGTCATAGTCCTCAAAGAGTTCACACTCCAGACATGGCTCTTGAGGAGTGACAGGAACTAGAGGGCACAAGAAAATGGTCTTCTGAGCTCTGAGGATGTGGGATTGTGCTGCCCTGGGCAGCCTCTGCAGAGGTAGGGCATTGAACCCCGCTGCACCCCCTCCAAGTTCCCAGGGTGAGCAGACTAGGTCTTTTAAATCTCCTGATACCGCACTCCTTTGCTGAGCATCCACTCTTTGTGTATCTCACCTTTTCTAGGCACTGAGGTGCATGGGGGAAGCAGAAAACAAGTTTGCTTGTTTATTTGTTTGTATTAAGTTTTTTATTCTCAAGGAGGTCAAGTATAACCAAGAGTGGGACACATGATAAAATGTAACTATGGAAAAGGATACCCAAGCCTTCAGGAGAAGCCAAAAGCTCTTTTGCCTGAAGAGAAAAGTCCTTTTTCATCAGAATACTGCCAACCTTCATAGCCTTTTCTGTTACTTGTCAGTGATAGCCCCTTGTCTTTTTCTCCCCCAAGAGCCAAAATGAAATACTTATAGTTGCAGTGTTGGGCTGTCCTCTGCCTTTGTGTAGGATAGTCCCAGTGTTCAGAGGCTCTTCCACTTGTTTGGCATGTGAATTCCTACTCATCCCTTCAAGGTATAACCTAAGCATCATCTCCTCTGAGATAAACTTCCTTTGCCCATACCTCTTCCATATCAGGAGAGAATTATACCTTCCTTTGTTCTTATATCTGTGCAATTACACAGTCGAGGAACTTCTGCTCACTATGCCTCCCCTACTTGGGGGCAGAGATCCTGTCATATTTATTTCTGCATCCTTGGTACTAGGTTATAGCTGCTGCTTAGTGAATAAGTGGTGGAGTGTCTGAAGTTCTAGGAGAGGTGAGGGCTCACATTGTCAGGGATGGCTTTGAGGACAAGATATATTTAAAAAGATCTATGAAAGATTAGAAGGAGCCTGGTAAGTAAAGAGGGGAACTTTCTTTAAGGGAAATACCAAGGTAGGCATCAGTGAGGCAAGAGAGGCTGGTGTGGGTATTAGAAAGGGATGGAAAATGTTAGGGAACCTATTATTTTTTAATATCTTCTGTGGGCCTACAGCTGTACTGAGAACTCTATACACATTCTCTCATTTGATCCTAACAACAGCTTTATTGTTCCCATCCTCCATCTGAGAGGTTGTGTGGCATTCTTTAAGTGGACACAGCTAGAATATAATAGAAAAGAAGGGGTTCCACTCAATTTTTTCTATGATGGATCTAACTCGAGCCCTCATGCATGCTAAGCAAGTGCTTGATCACTGAGCCACAGTGCCAACTCTGCAGCTGGTTGGTCTACTTATCTTGTTTTTACTCAGTTTGAGATAGGGTCTTGCTATGTAACCCAAACTGGCCTCAAACTTTTGATACTTATTCCAGTCTCCTGAGTGCTAGGGTTGTAGGCATGTACTGACAGGTCCAACTAGCCAGGCCTTTACCAGAACTTATCATAATTCTGCCTTGCGCAAACATAATGAATGCATTAGTAGTCTCTTTGCTATAAAGGTTATAGGGATTTATCTGATCCCTTCATTGAGTCCTAAGTTGCTACTGCATTATAAAGCCATTTGAGATTGGGGTTTACTCAGTGTTGCAGACTGTGTATTTAGCATACATGAGGCATGGGTTCAATCTCCAGCACAAAAAAGGAAAAGAAAAGAAAAGGCCATTATAAGAGTTGCAATTCTAGGCTTTTTAATGATTGGGACCCCTGGAGCTCTAAGAGAAGACTCCTGACTTTATACTCTTCTATCTCTCCCATGAAGGCCAGGTTCTCAGTGATGGGAAAGTCTTCATCCATCTGTGCAACTACATTGAGCCCTGGGAGGACCTGTCTTTGGTACAGAGGGAAAGTCTGAATCATTACTACCATCAGAACTGTGGCTGCCAAGTAAGGGAATACCCATTTCCAAGGTCTCTTGGGGGTGGGGAATGAGTCTGGAGCCTCGAGGTCTTATGTGTTCTTTCACATGTTATTTATCCGCTTCCTATACTTAAATTGTGCCATGGACATTTGGGATGGGAAAGCAACAGAGTCCATAGTACCTTATCTCAAAGCACATTTTGGCTGGGAAGTAAGCTATCATATAAGGCAGACCAAGATAGCCACCATCTAAAGAGAATCCAAGCTGGGCATGGTGGTATACTCCTGCAATAGCAGCATTCAGGAGGCTAAGGCAGAGAATTCCAAATCTGAGATCAGGTTGGGCAACATCATGAGACACTGTCTTTTAATAAAAAGAAAAAGGGAGCAGAAAACAGGCAGGCAGAAAGAATAATCTTGGTCAGGCTCTGTAATAGTTAATTTATTTCAAAATTTTAATTTAGTCCATAATAAATTCATAAGTAATGAGGATTTCCATTTTGAGGTAAAGTAATGAAGCTCTAGAGGCTCTCATAGTCAGTGATAGAACAGGGTCCATCAAAGTTCATTCAAGATAACACTATTCACAAAGAGCATGGGGAAGGACAATTCAGGAGGAAATTTGGGACTAGGAAAGGCTTCATAAGACAGGGGGCAGTTGAGATGGGCAGTGAGGATATGCAAGAGGGTGAAAGGCAGCAACGGTAAAGGATTTTCTACTCACTTTGCTGTTGTGTGTTCACGACTAGATCACAACTTGTTATGCAGTGCCCTGTACTATCTCAGCCCCCAATGAGTGCCTTTGGACAGACTGGCTGTTGGAACGGAAGCTCTATGGGTACCAGGCTCAGTATTACGTCTGCATGAAGCATGTTGATGGCACCTGCAGCTGGTACCGAGGCCATCTGCACCTCAGGAAGGAGTATGCTGACATCATCCAGCCCTAGTAGGAACCAGTGACCACCACATCTTTTGAAGAGTCCTAAAGACCAAGCCAGTTCCCTGTGGTACTCTGATCATTACCACCTGCCATGCTGCTGCCAATGGGAAGTGACAAGTGAATTGCCTGGCCAGCATCATGGTGGCATGGGGCATGCGACAGCTTTTGTCCACATCTCCAGCCCACAACTTATTAAAGGCTGGGGAAGGTAGTATGACTTTTCTGTTTTTCCCTCAGCCCTTCTCCTCTGCATCTCAAATCCTATTAATTTAGTTTATGCCTTTTACTGAAAGTTTTTATTCTGTGTTGGGGTGTTTTCTACAGTCAGGACTATTTCCTCTCCGAGGAAAGTGTCTTTTCTTTTTCTTTAACTGATAGGGTAAGGGAGAAATGGTAACTGTTATGAGATGGTACAGTCTTATGATATGTGATACTAGTAGGTGAGCTGACTGTATGAGTGGGCTGATGGGTTGGAATGAAATGAACAATACACTAAAGCTACATATCCTCTACTGCTGCTCTCTCCCTTAGCCCAGTCCTCTGACATACTTTCCTCTGCTTGAAGAAGTAGCTTAGAGGACAAGCACTCACTGTGAGACTAGAATAGTCTACCCTCTCTCCCTATCCTGCACATTCCCTGATACTATTCCTGGTAGAAGGTCTGGCCCAATTAGCACACATCTTTGGACAAGAGTAGGTATTTCTCTTCCAGGTTTAATATCTTCAATGCCCTCAATTGATGCTCACAGTGCTTCTCTTCTGCTTCCTTTAGGTTGCTAATGCCTTTGTTCCTACTTCAGAATTTTGTTTTTAAGTAATAGCAACAAAAACAAAAAAAGTAAAACAACAAAACATTTTTCCCTTGCAGAGCTGAAACCCTAACTTCATTAGCTTTTTGAAACCTCAGATAGGCAATCATCTCCTGAGAACAAATTTCAGCAGAGGACAGAGGAGAAATAATACAAGGACCCTCTGGGGGGAGATGCTAGAGGGGAAATACACTTTGCACTTGCTGGAATTTTTTTCAGCGGCTATCCCTGTTAGATGTTATACCAGAAAAAAGCCAACTTTGATTCTCAGAGAGTATTTCCACTCTTCAGCTCAGTCCCCTTACCACTGTGCCTTGGATTCTCTGAGATCTACAGATACAAGTCCCTTAAGGTTCTTCAGCCTTTGTACATCTTTCTTGTATAGAGGGAAATGGGAAAGCCCCAAGATTAGCCTCTCTGATTTGTTAAGGACAAGAGCTTAAAATTCCAGAGCCTCTTCCTGGGAAAGCTCAGGTGAAGATGATGGAAATGGTTCTGTTTAAGGCCCAGGCCTATGTTTTACTTTCTATATGTGACAAGCCGGTGAGCAGGAAAATGTGTACTATGCCAGAAGGTGCTGGATTCAAATGCTACAATGAAGATCCCTTTTGGAGGAGGAGGGGAAGGGAACAAACATGATCTCTGTCCCAGAACACAGCACTTGGAAGGCTTTGGCAGTGAGTCTTCAAGCAGGATTATCAGGTGATAATCCACACATACACACACACACACACACACACACACACACACACACACACACACACACACACACACACACCAGCCGCGGAGAGCGGGTGCGAGATACACACACACACACACACACACACACACACACACACACACACCAGCCTTGGGCAGAGGGTGTGGGAGAGGGAAGAAGATGGGAAAGTAAACTCCAGTTGCCCTGAATGAAAAAGCATTATTACAGCTTCACCAACCAACCATTCCATCTCTCTCTTCCTTCTGATTGCCTAGGATGGACTCAGAGAAGGTGTAGTGTTAACTGCCTTATTTCAATTTGGAGGTAGCCCAGGAAATGGAGTCTGATGAATAATAACAACCATATCTTTTATCTCAGGAGTGCTTCATACCAGAAAGAACTTAAGAACCTGACTTAAATTTTGAATCATATTGGATATCTTGGTCAAGGGCAGTTATGTCCACCTGACTGTATAGTTGGGAAATAGATATACAGTGAGGGAATGTAATGTGTCCAATGACAAGTGGCAAAGCTAGAGAGCTACACTCACAGTAGTGAGCCTTTCTGACTGGTAGTCCACAGGTTTGTTATCCTGCCTTTTGTTGCTGCTTTTGTTGTTGCCTTTGTTGCTGCTTTTCTCTAGTCTGTCTACAGAATTTGAAAACAAAAGGTTGTTGGCTAAAATCTAGCTACTCCAGCCCCACTCCCTAAGTAGTCAGATAGTTCCTCCTTACTGGAGTATTTTGAGTTCAGAGGCTGAGGTCCTTGCCAGAGCCCCATAGGCACCATGTGACTGAGGCAGGGGTAGAAACCACAGAAACCCAAGGCCTCACTCAGCCACCTACCATCTCTCTGTGGTTGGGGTAGTACGTCTGCTCTATGAGTGGGAACGTCTCCCCTCCCAGTGTCTTGTAGATGCTCACCATCTGGGCAAACTGCAAAGACAAGAAAAATGCCAGCTTATCTTCAGCTTCCAGAACAAACAGACAAAACATCAGTTCATCAAATAGATTCTGAGTGTTTTTTCTGTGGAAGACATTGTGCTAAACACATTGGTGATATAAGAGAAAGGTACGTACAATTTCTATTCAAGGAACACATGCTTTCGTTGGAGAAGGCAGAGAGGAAGCTAGCATTTACTGAGTACCTACTTGTTTTAGTGGCTTTTTAAATTTAATTTTCTTATCAAACTGACAAGGCTGAGAAGGATTGGAAACATCACTAAAATTACAGAACTGGGGCTGGGGTAGTGGGGCATATCTGTAATCTGAACACTTAGCAGAAGCGGGAGGATTAGAATTCTGAGGCCAGCCTGGCCTACATAGTGAGCTCTAGGCCATCAGGTTGGGCTACATGGTAAAATCTTGTTTACAAAAAACAAAACAAAACAAAACAAAAATCAGTAACAGAACTGAAAAGAGATGAAGCTAGTATTAAAACTTAGGTTGGGTTTCTAACCCCAAATACATGCTCTCTGAATAATGATGCAAGGTAAAGCTGGAGAAGTAACAGACACCAGGTCCTAGAAGTTCATATGCTGGGCAAAGAAACAAATGGCAACTTTTCCCTGTGTGCTGCAGAGTCACCAGAGCCTGCAGGTGGTGCCATGAACGAGGCTGTCCCAGGAAGATCTGGAGGGCCACAGTAAGACAGAATCATCTTTCTGCGACCAACTTACTCATCCAAGTACTGAACTAGCTAGAAAGGTCCCCATGACAAACTAAGAAGTGTTAAGGAGAAAAGGCAAGGTTCAACTGTTTACCATGTTAGGGTTGGAAGGTTTTCGGTGCACATTCAGCACTCCCTGACCCTTCATAAATGAAGAAACTGAGAACCAGGGAGGTCAGTTGTCCAAGGTCACACAGTACTTGAGTTGGGTTCATAGCCAAGGTCCTTTATTCCCAATCTGTATTTCTTCCAATTCCTTCACAAACCTGCTTCTCAAGTTTTGCAGAGACCATGTTCTTCTCACAGGAAGGACAGGGTTCTCCCACTTCATCCACATATACTCTGCAACCCCACCCCCAGCATCTGCAGCAGGGGAAATACAGCATCTTCTCTTTAGGGCTACTGAATGGATTCACACTCCAAATTGGCTACCAGGGAAAACTTGCCTTCTGCTTATCAGAGACAGGAAAGCTAGGACCTTTTGCAACAGTTTAAGCCCTATTATTAGTACATGAGCCATGCAAGGGAGGAGGGCTTAGAGTACTTAAAGCTCAGAATTAGGTCATTAGCAAACTGGAGTCTTCTGGTTTTTGTTTTCCTATTAAATTGCTAGGTATCCTTAGGCAAAAGATCTCTCCAGGCCTCATTTTCTTCAGACATAAAGGGAGAAGGTTAAAGTCGATGAGTTTTTCACATTTTGTTTGTTTGTTCTGAGACAGGGTCTCCCTGTAGCCCCAGGTGGCCTAGAACTCACTATGCAGACTAGGCTGGCCTTAAACTCACAGAGATCCACCTGTCTCTGCCTCCGAGTGCTGGGATTAAAGGCATGTGCCACCATGCCTGTCTGAGTTCTTCACATTTTGTATCACAAAGAACAACCCTTTATTAAATTTCTTCTTAAATTCCATTATTAAACTGCAGTTTCAGTGGTTGTGGTCCTTCATGGGTGAAGATATGATTAAAATGCTAGAAAGCTTTGGAATATCTGGGCCATACCTTCAGTGACACATAATTGACAACTAGAATTCTAAGTCCTCTTCCAGAACTCAGCCCCCAAGATTTTATTGTTGAAAAAAACTTCAGAGGGTCTCCAAACCAGGTCTCCTGGTTTTCAAGTAAGGACACTGATGCTAGAGAAGCAAAGGAAAGTGCAGGCTCCCTGATCATACCTAGTGTTGAGGCTATATTGGGAGAGCACCAGGTCCCTTTTTTTCCTTGCCCACTGTATCCTCCATTATACTCCGCACTTTTTATCATCCTTGGTTCTTCAATCTACTTTTGGTTGTTAAGGCTGACCCCCCCGCCCCGACATTTCCTTTATTCTCAAAGTCTTCCCATCACCTCACCTAACCTTCCTCTACCTGGGCCTGACTGGATTTCTTCTCTGCCTGGGCTTCTAAGGCTCTCCATCATCCCCAGGGAGCTGATGCCAGATCTGCCTGAAGACCTCTGTCCTGCTGCAGCCCACACTCTGGCATGGCACCAAGGCATGTGGGGCCCTATCTTCCCTATGTGTGGGTGAGTTACACAGACACCACACAGCTGCCAGGAAGGCCCCCGGCAGACTCCCAGGACCCTGGGACAGCCAAGACTAAAATGACAGCCAGTTCCCAGGCTCTAGTTGGGTCCCTGAGAGCTCAGTCTCCCCACTCAACTGCCAGTACTCCCTGTCTGTTCAAGGTACTAGGCTTGGCATCTAACCTCTGCCTCCTTGGAAACTTAGACTAAGTCACAAGTACACAGTTACCAATTAAACAAAGGTGATATCTGATAAGGGCTATTTCCTCTATGCAGACCAAACAATGAATATGGGAACCTGTATGCTGTTGATAGTGAATAGACAGAGGTTCATTAAAAATAGTTATCCAATGGCAGGAATTCATTGAAGAATGGGATTTCAAGATCTATTTGAATAATGTGTTATCCCTATCTCTTCTGGATATTAAATGTTTTTATTTAACCCTAGCCCATCAGTCTCCTAAAACAACCCAGAAAGACTGATGAGAATTCAGATAAATTTGGAGCAATAATGGATGGTGGCATTCTTGCTTTCTCTGGACAGATGCTTTCATTGACAGACCTAATTCTGCTTCTAAAATCTGGTGGCCTGCCCTGGCCAGTTTTGGAGACAGAGGACATGCTCAGAGTCATGCTAGGGCAAGGCAAAGCCTTTTCTAACCCACCAGAAGCCTCTCCTTACATCAAGAGCATCTACAGTAAGAAATTTAGAAACATGAGCCAAAGCAATCACCTTTGATTGCTCCTCTCATGGTCAACAAACTTTCCCACTTCTACTAATAAGCTGAGAAAAACAAGTAAAATAGCATTTATGTGGCAACTGCTTAGTGAGACTGCAGGGAGAACTTGGTGTGTGGCCAGTGAATCCTGCTGTTCTCATGGGATGCCAAAGGCAATGTGCTGGGATTGTGAATGGGTGAGAGTATGAACCCTCACCAGATCCCAGATCCCATGAGGGTACAAAGCCCTAGCTAAAGGCTCTCTCTGTCCCTCCCTTTCCTGGCCTCTGCCACAGTTTAGGAAATGAGAGCATGGAACAATCTCCTTTAGGAGGTTTCAGATACCAGGGAACTATAACAACCAGGTTGGCAAAGTGATGGCATATACTTATTAATCACAGTTAACAGACACAGAAGCACAGCGAGGTTCAGTCACAAGGCTAAGTTAGTAGAATCACCCAGTAAAAGATAATAGTGGCATCACCCTGTGTAGTCATGAGAGAACAAAATTCTGACAAGTATTGGGGATGGAGTGGGTTAGGGCATATTTATAGGAGGAAGGTCATATGATTGAGAAGAAAGGGGAGGTTCCCAGAAAAGACATTTTATAGATGGCTCATATGTACTCTTCTGGGATTGACAACACACTCAAATAACATCACCTTTTTAGTCTGTTTTCTGTAGAACACTGGGATTCCAGATGTTGCAAGCCACACACAAGAAAGAGCTGAACAAGTAAAGCTCAGGAACCCAACCCCTCCTCAACTACAGCAGCTCCCAGACCTCAGTCCTTGCTCATGCCTCTTTCTCCCACACTGTAAGGTCTCTCTGGCTAAAAGTTTCTACTGCTCTCCAAGATTTCTAGACTGGCTGTGGAAGAGAAAATCAAACTAGCTCTTCCTCATATTAATAGTCCATTTTATGTAGAGGCAATGTGATTTAGAGTAATTTTGGCTTTATAAGTTTGCCAAGTGACTTATTCCTTTCTGGGTCTTATTTCTCTGTACAAAGAAAAAAAAATACCTTCCATAAAAG